GGAAGTGAACTGAAGAATTTTAGGTTACTTTGCAATGCTCATTAAAACTGGTCTTTGCTAAGATTACTTATTTAATTATCGAAGCACATCTGCCAGAGAAGCATTGAGCATGGCAGCTAATTCTACAACTAAAAGAGATAGTGGAGTTAGTTATCTTGAGGCCCAGATCCACGATCACAGGGTGCTCTATCTTGGTCAACGTTATGTTGACCTTGTGTCATGTATGAAAGTTTGTTAACAAAAACGGTTTCTGCTCTTAAAGTAAATACAATTTTGAGTTGATAAAACCAATTAATTTGTCATTGGGGTTATTCAAATTAGTTCAACATTAATTAAATCAATGCAGGGACAAATATAGGTCAACAGAATTAGATATTATTAAGTGGAACAAACCAAACATTTGGTGTATGTATTAATTTCCTTTTAAAAGTTTGTTAAAAAAATGTGTTGAACGGATTAATTTCCTTTTAAAAGTTTGTTAAAAAAATGTGTTGAACGGATTCAATAAAATGACACCATACAGATAAATGTGGATTTGGTTCTGCTAGCAAAAACGTGTTGGAAGGAAAAACTGCCGTCAATTCAATTGAGTTGATCCAACGAGTCATTTTTTGGGAGTGTACGCTTTTCAATTATGCCTGAATAAAGTTTTTACTATTTATTAAAAAGCTCTAAGTTCTAAATATCTCTCCACTCTGCATCACTGAAAAATGAAATATGAGCAAATCAATTCGGTATAGTGTATTTTCCCTTGATTTTAGCAGATGAGTAGGAACATTTGCTGATTCAGTTCTCCTTAATAAAATAACTTTATCTTATTTAAATTGCATAATATCCAATTCGTTTTTTTTAAGGGCAAAAACTCATTCAATTTGCAGATCCTCTTATCTACCTGACTCAGTTAAGACCAAAAACTACTTTTTTTTTGCTCAGTTTCTCTCTTTTTTGCAAGTTGCTTTAGTTCCTGATGGGCAGCACAAAACTGTGAAAAATCTGATGGAACATGACATCAAAGTGAAATGTAATCCTCATCCCACTGGAATCCCACTCCAAAAGGTCTAATAGGAATCGGCTTCAGGACCGCTTACGTCTGTGGTTAAAATGTAATTTGAAAAAGTCAGACACATGCCTTATCTGAGCATCCACACTGACCTGATCACTGCACAAAAAACAAAAACAAAAAAAAAGTCAGGTGTGTAGAGATACTAAAACATGCAGGACAGCAGGCAGACAATGAAGTTAAAGAACTACATCCAGATCAGTTTGCAAACCTTTGCAAAATCCCACTAAAGTTCATCTCCATTTTATCTTCACTGTCCCCTGTAGAACTCACTGTAGACTCATTATATCACACAAAAAAAAAAATAATTGAAGTTTCAAAAAGAAAGAAATCCAAGGATAGAAATCCAGAAAAGTAGCTCAGTGTTTCTGATGCTGAACGACTACAGAAACAAATCAGATTTATGTTCTTTATTTTCCTTCTTCTCACAGTAACCTCTCCAGCAGACCAGCAACAGTTAAACAAGAAAAAATATGTCCACATGTAAAAACCATGTGTCTTTATCTCAGTGTAAAAACAAAGCCCTCTTTAGAAAAAGCTCGTCATTTGATGGAACAGGAACAAAGGCAACCTTATATAACCTCGGTGTGTTTGACCTTGCTGTCTTCGCAGTGAAGTCCAGGGCTTCTAAACTCTGGAGCATAAATCAGCAGCAGCTACAGGGCGGTCACAGTTTCTCAGAAACCCCAACCAGAACATGAGGATGCCTGCTGTAGTTTATAGTCGGGTCTCAGGAATGGACGCTCTGTAACGGTTTAACAAAAGCCGTGCATCGCTTTCTACAAAGAGAAGTCAAGGATTGGCAGAAATGCCATGAATGTTCATTTAAAAGATGCTATGGCAACCTCCTTGGCTGATACTCTATAATAGATTAAAGACAGTATTTCACTCACTTTTTACAGATTTCTAAAGGCACGCAATGTAACTTTTGACCACAAGTGGCGCTAGAACTGTAATTTTTATGTCTAGCGCCCCTAGTGGCCACATGCGCTGCAGCACTGTCGAGAAAGTCAACAAACAGCCAGCCAACGAACAAACTCCTTTCCATGATCGACTCTTGTTTTTCCTCGCCCACTATCCATTTCACATTTTCTCTTTTTAGCCTCCTCAGAAGGTTAAACTTTTTTCTTCCCTCGGCCATTATTCCAAGAGGGGAGCCCCACTTGTAGCACTGATAGTGTCAAGTGCTGTGTATTGGCCTGAGGAGTCATTTAAAATAACTCATATGCATCAACTCTTCAGGTCACAAATAAAAAATAAATAAATAAAATAAAACAACAACAAAAATAAAACCATTAAATTGGTGTTTGGTGTATTTTCTTTTTGCTTTGGCTGCACAGCCTCAGTACGTTGATATTTAAGTTAATAGGAAACAGTTTTAAAATTCTTTTCATTTCATGAAGAAAGTATGTCAAAATAATCATTAAAGTAAGCAGGAGAAAAATGAAGTAATTAAATAAGAAATATTTCTGCAATATCATTTCCCAATTTAATTAATTTTGGGTGAAATTTCCCCTCCTTGTGAAGATCTTTTATATTTTTTAGTTATATGCATCCGTCTGTGGTTGAGTGAGTTTGGATGACCAATAGTGGGTCACTATTGGTCATCTTTTAAGTAATTTTCTTTATTTTGTTTTGCTAAACTGACATTTTTCCCAGTTTGTCTCATCTTAACAGTTGGTTGAGATTATTATAAGAACTTGTGATGGTCGCTGTCTGCATGTTGTTATTCTGGCTTCTATTTATTTATTTGTGGTCAGCTTAGTTTTTTTTTTTTTTTGGCGTGTTTAAGAAGAATTTGCAAACATTTAAAATTTATTTGAATTTGCTTGTTTTCTTTTGTCTGCGTTTTGCTTTCCATCATGCCTCTGTGGCCAAATATTCTATAATACTCTACTTCCTAAATGTTTTGTTGCTATTTGGGGTTTCTGTTCATTTGTTTTGCCTCTCTTTGAAGTTTTTACATCTGTTATTCTAAATTCGGGTTTGAAAGCCTCCTGTAATATAACAATTAGTTATGTAACATGAGGCTAATGAGAAACAGGAGACTAGTTACATGAAACTGACCCCTGTTTGAGGTGCACAAACTATTTAGTGCATTTATCAAAGACAGCATCTCTAAATCAGCAAGGATTCATCATACTCACAAAAAACAGGTTGCAGTTTCTGTCTCATGTCCTCCCAACAGAAACAGGAAAAAAAGAAAAAAGAAAAGCAGAGCAATAACCAAACTCTGTGTTCCTCTTTGCTCTCGGCAGAAGCCACCCAGCGAGCACCAGGACTAAACCTGCTGACCTGACCCAGATATTAACCCAAGCCTCCAGATGTTAGGGAACGCTGGGATTACTCCACCACTGCATCCAGCTCCACATGCTTTCCTAATGAGGCATCCTGAAATGACCCTGGAGCCAGAGCGGACCAATGGCTTCACTATCAGACTGAAGCAGACATTTTTTCTCTTGGTTTATTTATTTATGATATTCGTTTTCTTGTTTTTTTTTCTGATGATAAATAGAATCATATCTATATCTATCTATCGTGTTTAGCAGTATCTGAAATGTACACTACTGCACTAAAAAATGAATGATAGATTAGCAAATTATGAACATCTTAGGTTATTGAACTCTGTTTTTATTAGAAGGATTTCAAACCATAAAATAATTTTAGCTTCTCTGAAACAAACGGTCTAAGCCTTTGGTCTAACTAGGAGCTAGATCTGCAAATAGCTAAATAGATAGGATATTTTTACATAGATAAAAAAAAAATCAATTAATTTGGCTTAAATATAAAAAAAACAAAAACATTATTTAAGCAGCAGAAGAAACATGCTTTTAAAAATGTTGAATATTTTTATCTAAATATCACTAAAAATTGAACATATGTCAGTATATAAGTAAAAAAGTAAGAACTGTATTTCAGAGACAATGATATATCTAAAGTGACCCACATGGCACAATGCACCACTAGCAAGCACATTCAAAGCTGCATCTCAAAGGAAAAAGTAATTTATCAAAAATGTGAAACTGAAGTATAGGTCCATCACATACAAAGCAGCGTAATTTAGGTCGTCACAAAATGTAATTTTGATGCAAATCTCTAAAGGCTAATGAAAATCTTTCCCTTTATTAAACTATGAATAATAATGTATAAGCAATGTTGTTCTAATACTTTTGCTCTGTAGCCCTGTTAAAATCGTTCTAATATTGCATTTCTGGTTCAGGAAGTGATAAAACAAAGGAACGCAACAGTCATATCGGTGTCCAACAGCTCTTAAAGGTTACCTATGTTGATTTTGCAACTTTTTCCTTCCACCAAACTTTCCTTTGATTTCCTTGATTGCAGCACCATAAACAGCCATTCATTAAAGTTATTAACTAAAACAACCGTACTTACATAAATTAACAGTAATCAATAGAATAAATGCATGAAATATACATCTCTGGTTGTTGTAAATTAAACATGCATAACTTTTTATTTTTCATTAGATGCACCTGTGTTTAAGCTGTAACCAGATTGAGTTCTGAAAACATGAAGGTGAGATGCTATTCTCTTCTCTGCTCAGCTGATCCTCCAACCATGCATCACAATTACTGCTGAAGACAAATGTGCTACCTTCACTTTCACTCGTCCTCTGAACATCTGCACTTGTCATGACCTCAATGGTTGTTGCAGATTAAGAAATTTAACTCCTTATGTGCATCAATGTAGCTCTGGTAGAAGCAGCTGAATTCTTCAGGGCTGCCTTATTACCAACTCCAGCAGTGCTCTGCACAAGTTGCAAACTTCTCTGCAAGCGCAACAACCAACAAAAAAACATGCGAACATCCTGCAAGGGGTGATGAAATCCATCAAATCCAACCGGCCTGCTAAGTGGCTTAACTTGCAACAGAGATGAGGAAAGGGGACAGAAAATAAACAAAAAATGCAGCCTGCAGCCTACCATTTTGATCCAGCGCTTCGAGGCTCCAAGGAGTCCCGAAATAACTCCTTTCGCTGCGGTTTGCCCTTCGCCATGAAAACGATCCTTGGATTGTCACATTTCTGCAGCTTTATTTATTTTTATTTTTGCTTTCTCCGTCTGCTTCCCTGCTCGGACTGTAGCCGTTCAGACGGACAAAAATGCAGAGGCTGCTTTTGCAGGAGGAATTGGTGATTGGAGCTCTGGGATCATATGGGCTTTTTGTAAGACGCTTTTAAAGGGACACGGTGCAGTTTTTTAAACGGGGAAGGGGGGTGGTTATGTTCATAGATGTTTTTATTTTTTTTCAAACTGTCCGTGAAGTTTTTAGGAAGAGGAACTGCGAAGGTCGCGCAGCGGCCATATGGCGCAAAGGCTGCTGCACGCGGCGTGTCATAGAGGTGTGGTGGGCTCCTGATGCTGAACAGTGTGACGTCAGGCAACGAGTAGACACGTGCGGAGGTCAGAGAGTTCACTGATTTCCCACATGACAGCAGCCACTGCAAATCCAAGTGCACCACTATAGTGACACAGGCGCACTTTTTTGCGCAGGTAGCGCCATTATAATGATGCATCTCCATTGGAAATATAATTTCTTTAACAGGGTTAAAATTTAAAATAATTTCAGATGCAATCACTGTCAATATTCATTTTAACTTTTATGAGTCTGAGGAATAGCTAATGACATTCAGTGTGACAAAAAGAAGGAAGTTTATAGAAAACTGATTAAGTGCAATTTTAATTCAAATTTCTTTTACTTTATCTTTTTAAATCCATAGGGGCTGTTACCTTACCTAACAGTTCTCTAGGAGACAGGAACCTTAAGCAGGTGGGATATAACACAAGATATTAATACTGAAGAATATACTGGCTGCATGTGTACTAGGTCCAAGCATATTAATGGATGTTTGGAGGAAGGGGAGAAAAGGGTGGATGCACAAGGAAAACAGATAACCCTCAGCCTGGAGAAGATTGTGGAGCAACGATCACTCAAGAGTTTGAGTCTATGCTTCAAAGCCTACAACACAAACAAACATATCCAAGAAATGACGACAGCTGTCACTGAATACAGAATTGTTGATGCGAAAACCTTTAAAACCACCAACTGGACAGCTGTCAGTCATTTACACCCTCCAAAGAAAGAGCAAGTCACCAAAGATCAGCACCAAAGGAATATATGTAGAGCATATTAATAGTACGGAGCCCCTCTGATGACATGGACAAAAAAACTGTTTAATTGTGGCCACGAAGTAGTATTTCGCGGCCACGCAATAAGTTTATCGTGCACACGAAATACTACTTCGTGGCCACGCAATAAGTTTAACGTGCGCACAAAATACTTATTAATAATATCAATAAATCCGCCCGTTTTCAGGCTTATGTTAACTGTAATGACTTATCTTGGACAGGCTGCTATGTAAACGGGCCTTTAGTCCTTCGTTTAGCTATGCTGCGGTTGTTTACACTACACCTTTTCCACCTAAAATGGCGTCTTAGCAACAAATGTCACGTGACTGGCGGAGACCGACTGGGTAAAGCAAATCGAGCGCGCCTTAGACCTTAGAGAAGGCGCACTCGATTTGCTTACCCAGATGTCCAGGAATGATATTAATATTATTAATAAGTATTTTGTGCACACATTAAACTTATTGCGTGGCCACAATTAAAAATTTTTTTTGACCATGTCATCAGAGGGGCTCCGTATAATGGAAAGTTAAGTGGAAGAAAAACATTTTTAATCCAGAAGTTTTATGGTCTTACAACCAAAGGGCATGATTCTTTCTAATAATTTTGTATTGCAAAAAGGATTTAACACAATGTCAAGTTATCAGCTTTATTATTGTATAAAACAAAACCCCATCTTAAGGTCTGCAAAACACTTATATATATATAATAAATATATATGTATAATGTGTGTGTGTGTGTATATATATATATATATATGTGTGTGTGTGTGTAATTAAAAGTAATCTCTTCATAATCACAAAGGTGCTCAACACTATTCTAAATCGAACCATATTCTAAATGTTTTATCTTAAAAAAGCAAAAAAAAAAAAATATCTTTTTTGTTTACACTTACACTTTTTTCTCTGGTTTAAAAGTGAGAATAAAGCCCTTTAGTATAGCAGTGTTATTTTAATCTTTTTCAATGTAGCCACAGGAGGTTGGAAATAAATCTGACAAATGATCATCAGGCAGCCTCGTTCTCTGTTGAAGCCAGAAAAAGGCAGACGGGACCTCCAAGCTCCTTTTAGATGTTGGATAGATTGTCCTGAGCTCTAAGATTTTAAATAAAACCTGACAGGATTTCACTTTTCCATAAAAATAGCAAAAAAATAAAGAAGTAGCAAAAATATAATTCATCAATAAAAAATTGCCAACCGGTGTTTTTCTTATAATTGATTCTATCAAGTTATTCATTTTCATCTCATAGTTTAGAAAATGTTTTTGATCATTTTCTAATTTAATCTTGTAAATTTGAATTAAATTTCTACTTATTATATTCTTTCTTTTATAAATAATTTTATAAACATTAACACGTTTGTCGTTCAACATAATGCATTTTAGTTTGAAATCATTTTAGCCCCCAAAGAAGCAGACATGGTACTTTATGGTACATGGTAAAAATATCTATAAAAGCTGATCTCTCTTTTTCTTTGGAATAAAGAATAAACAATTTCTACTGAACACACAATAAGTGAATATGGTTCTCACAAACACAAAGCCCTGCCTGCAAACCTGCCCTCTGTAGGCCAAACTGGGGCATTGCAAGTTACTGTGTGGTATTTGCCTCACTCAAGCCTTCCTGAAGCAGAGAAAATACCAAAATAAACGTGTCTCATCTAATTTGACATCGTAGTAGATATAGGTTTGTATTAATCTACGGTAACTAAAAAATCTTATATAAGGGGAGCAAGGGGAAAATCAATAAAATGTTTAAGGTCACGGTCTCGAACATCCAAAGTATAATTAAAACCACAGCCAACACAGTTTGTTGAATCCAAAAATGAAACATAGAAGCCCAAACTGTTGACGTATTTAATCAAAGTAAACATTTTTTTTACCAACTTATTATAAAAACAGAGATTATATATTTTGAGTAAAGCTTCTACATTCATCTGTTCATTAAGAGACAATTTATAACAAAGTAAACTTTAACCTTTTCCTTCTCAAAAACACATTAAAATGTGATGTTAAGCAATTCTATAATTGCATCATTTGGCATATATGAAGAAAATGTTAAAGAATAATGCATAAAAATACAATTATGTAAATTATTTCCACCCCCTAAAGTTTCCGCAGCTTGGCTGCAGACATTCAAACAGCTGCTGTCGGCCTTTTAAAGAAAGACCATTTCACATTCATGCTTGTATTGACCATCCCTACATCTTCCATTATGAAACTTAGCACAGTATAAAACAAGAACACTTCCTGTTGGAGCTTCGGCTGCAGACCTGCGAGCATCTCCTCCTCAGTAGAGGTGAGGCTGGACTCAACTGTAGCGACTGCTGCGGCTCCTGCTTCTGGAAAAACTACGGCTGGACGAGCGTGACGACCTGGATCAGACGGGTTACAATAAAATATATCAGCTTTTAGCTGTCAGAAGACCAGATCATGAGGATGCAGATGCCTTCATTTAAACTGAGAACATACTACTAATAAATGGATGACTTTAGGATCTATCTGATAGCATCTTAGAGGGCAGGCAGGATAAAACTGATATGAAAGTGTTCAGTCTTACCGTGATCGGCGCTCAGAGCTCCTGTAGCTCTCACTACGTCTGTGCCCTCGTCTCCTGCTCACGCTTCGACTCCGACTGGAATAGCTGTCATACGAGTCGGACCTACATTGAAACAAAATGCCAGATAAAGGCTTAAGAACGTCTTAAGAAACAGATTTTAAACCGTTTAATAAGCACCCATGGTCCTACCTGGGTTATATTTTAATGGTATTCTGATTAGACTTTATTACCCTTTAACAGGGTAAAACAAGGTTAATTACTTTGACTTTTATAGCTACAATTACTGATTATTTTACTAATTAATTAATCTATTGATTTTATTTTTTTATTTTAATACTAATCTAAAAACATATTTTTAGTAAATAAAGTTCTAAGTTTAGATTAAAGGAAATAAAACCTTAATGCACATTTTAAATTAATAATTGTTAAAAAGAATTAAATGATTCCTTTTCAAATATTAATAATGATTAATCCTATTAAGCGTTTCAGCTTTACTGTGATTTTGTTCAATACAAGCCGCCAAAACTATGCTGTCAGGAACATGTTCAATGACGGAGATTTTACTGTTCAACTCAAGTGAAAACTTCAAAAACAAAACAGGCAGCGTGGATTTAGAGTTGTTGAAAAAACATTAGGAATTTATATTTGACTGGATATTCATTGACATTTTTCTGTTTCTTATGAAATTTCAAAATCAAAATAAAATACAGTTAATAGTGATTCATCTGTGAAATAAGCCATCCCAAATTGGTCCAGCTTCTTCCCTTCATTGGTGTACTTAAAAAAAACAGAGAGAATACGTGGGTGGTACTTAGTATTTACCTTTTGACAATCAGTGACTTAGAAAATATCTCCTACAAACAGAGCTTTAAAAGGAAAAGGAGCAAAAATCTGAGATTAACTTAAAAAAACAAACAAACTATAATCAAGTAGTTTGTTGAAAGTTTAGATAAAGTTATAAAAATCAAAGGAAGACCAATTTATGATTTACAGGATCTTTAATTGGATCACTTTGTGCTTAAAGTTAAAGAACCATAAAATCTAAACTGGTAAAGCTTTAACTGCAGAAATTAATGACTGAAGTTTTTTTAAACAGATTACCACGCAAAAGTTTTCAAGTTGGCCCGGAAAAACAAAACACATATCGGAAGGTGCTTTCTAATATCCCAGTAAAAATCTGCTTACGTGTCAAGCAAAGCAGTTAAATCTCTGCCTGTTAGTGTGGACAGGTTCTGAGTCACTATTGGTTTACTTATTTATCTCATTTTTACAACTATATTCCCAATGATCTAGTCCATATGGCTGCATTGTATTGAAATTCCCCACATATTTATGAACAGTAGTCCTGAGTAAAAGAAAAAAGAAAAAAAAAAAAAAAAGGATTTCTTTGTATAACACCACAATTTTGGCTCCCTGGAGCTTCCGCAGCTGGGGCCGGATCTATCAACGGTTTGCGTGTATAAAAACGTGAGCCATTTCACTGCGCACGCTAAAAAATGTACAAACTAATCTATCAACAGCGTGCTAAAAGGATTTGGTCTTTAAAACGTGCTAAATAGCGCCTGTTATCCATTTAGTACTTTTTCTGCAATGAATATGCAATATGGGGCATTTACACGCAAAAGTGCATCTTGTGGGAGGAGAACATGTAAATATATTAATTTAGCACTCGCAAAGTGATTTATTAAACCTGAAAGCAATTTTGCTAACGGTATCTGACTCTATATTTAACACGTTTCAAAAGAAGGTGCAAATGGTCTGTATGCGTAATTGCGCACACATGGCAGCGGTTATTGTCGCAAGAAGGAGACATCGAAATGAAGCAAGGAGACGCAGAGAACGCATTTTTTCACTCCGTGTGAATATTTTTGGAATGAACGAGGAAACGATCATCAAAACATTTCGTTTATCCAGCATTGCCATTTTGGAGCTGTTGGGGGAACTCCGAATGGATTTGGAGCCAGCCACAAGGAGGACCCACGCAATACCAGATATCACAAAACTCCTTGCAACATTGCACTTTTTTGCATCTGGGATCTCCCAATCTCGTTTTTCAGAAGTGCGCAGTAATCTCATCCACAGTCACTTCTTGTGAGCCATTTGGTATGTGCATTTTTCTACAGGCCAATACAAAACACCTGTTTTTTTTTTTTTTTTTAACGCAAGGAAAGAAAAAAGGTTTTTTTTTTTTTTTTCCTTGGGATTGGGTGGGGGTGTCACTGTAAGATTAAAATTTCTTAATGCACTAGTTTGCAAAAACTACAAACTACTTTGCCGCAAACCACAAAACGCGCAAAACCATCATTTAAATAGGGCGTCTCCAACAATTTTGCACCTGCCACCAGTTACGCAATCGCTCTTGTTAAATCACCTGCAAACCATGGTTCAGCCCCTCGGGCAAAATTCCAGTTTGCGAGAGCAAATTACTGCACGCAAAATTGGATCTTGATAAATCCGGCCCCTGGAGTATTACTCCCATGGTACAGTTCGGCAAGCAACATCATGGCTACCGGTGAGAGTGGAAAGTTAGTGTTGAAAAAAGGAAACAAATCATCTGTTGTTTGGAACTGGTTTGGGTTCGCAGCGACAGACATCGCACCTACGGCTTTAAGGTGAGGGACACAAACATACCAAACAATCAACGGGAAATGTTTGTGGAATCTAGGGTAATTAGAAAGATGCTTAGCATTTGCTATAAGGAGAGCACTTTTCTGATGGTAAAAAACTGACTTTATGCGGCAATTTTCTCATCATGGAATGTTTTTATTATGAATATGCTGGATTGCATTTTTTTGTAGAACGTTACAGACAAATGGAATATGAACAATCTAGGCTTGGATTTATTTCAGGATCGCTTCAAAGGAAGGAAGTCAATTCGTTTTATATTTTTATTTTGATTTAATATGCTGCTATATATTTAGCAAGTGTGCTTTGGTGCTAATAGTGTCCATAAAATGAACTTGTGGAGGATCTAGAATTTTAAGGATGTATGTCTATACTGGTAAAAGTTTAACTGGTGTTATTTCCAAGCATACTGCTGTGTTTAATGTAAATATGCACAATGGAGGCAATCAGTTCATATCGCCCAGCCCTATTTTATAGATATTGGTTGTAATTAACCCACATTCTCCACACTCCTCTTCTGTGTTTCCTGTAGGCAGTCATGTTTTTAAGAGATCCAAGATATATATATTTTTTTAAACCAGTGTTTTTGGATTGTTGGGATTCCTTTCAATCATATTTTGGGAATCTGACTGATTTAAGGTACCAGTGGGTTATCTGAATCTGACTGAGGCGGCTCACAAACCTGGACCTCCTGTGGCAATGGTAAGAGCGGCTTCTGGAGGGACTTCTACTGTACGACCGACTGTTGGGAAGACAAAGGCAAAACATACGATTTTAGAAATGATAAAACACAACTCGGGATAAAGATTTATTTGATGACATGGGGAGATTAACAATAAACATTAAGTTAAACATATTTAACAAAAAAAAAATATTGGTAATTACACAAATATGTCAAAATTCAATGTTTTGAAATGTGAAATGCATTGAAAATGTAAAAATGATTACATCCCTATCAAGTCCAATACCAAAGTCGTCTCCCACTAGAACTGATCTTGACTAAATAAGCTATAAAAATGTAAAAGATACAGTTCACCAACTGCGCTCTTCTTCCTCCTGCCTAAATATTTTACCCACAGCCTTTGTAAGGAAAGCTCTGCCTGTCGATACAGCTGGTATAATTCAAACAATAAACATATTCCTTTTGTCAGGCGTTTTCCCAAGGTCCTAAAAAAGAAATGATCAACTGCTGAGAAAGTGCAGCTTGGAAAAGCTGCTACTGCAGAACTACAAGAAAATCTAAAACCTTCCCTTCATCAGAAAGATTATTTGGAAAAGCAGTTTTCGAAAAACGAAACACCTTTCTAACGATGAGCAACTTCTGCATCTTCCAGCCAGGCCTCCATCCTCACTCACAGTACAGGGACGACCCTTGTTATGGTGTTTAATAACTGTATAAATGCAAACTGCAGGAAAAACCACAGTGCTGCTTTAACTGGACATTATAGTACAGCATTCAACTCCATTGTATTAGTGTCTGGAAAACTAGGTCAGCCTTTCTAGTACTGCAATTGAATGATTTAGATCCTACTAGAAGAACAGGGATTTGTGCATTTGTGTCAGTAGGTAGCTTTACATCAGGGACGACAAAAATTCCTCAAGGGCCCATCATAGGGTCCCTTCAATTCATTATCTACATGCTCCCCCTTACTCGGATTATAAAACCCAACAACATAGGTTACCATAACCATGCAGACAACACAACTTCACATTAACATATCACCAGATGAATATGACCCTATTTAACCTCTGGGTAAATGCAAAGAAGAAATATAATTATCTTAATTCAATGTCATTTTTATTCTATTGAGGTAATTGTGTTGCCCCTGTGCCACTGAAATGTACTATATAAATATACTAGCCTTTCCTAAGGCGAGTAGCAGGGCTTCTGTCATTCTATGTTCTTAAATTCAAACTTTAATTAAAAACTGATTAGCTTTGACTCAATCTTTACTCTTTAAGACTTTAATGACCTTTACAAAACCTTTTGAGAACAATCTGGCATTAATGACAAAAACAGTTCAATTAACTTTCCTGAGAACTTGTGTTTGACTTCTTTCCCAACTAAAACTGGGAAGTCTCATGACAAATGTGATGATGGCTGAGAATAACGAAACATGAACATTTTAATTGCATAAATATGCAGTAAAGCCAGTTTGAAGAACATGAGCCTCTTGACAGGTTTTCATGTAAAGCTGAAAGTCCAGTGATGAATTCCATTCTAAGGCTACCATGCATCATGGGAGCTTGAAAGGGCATAGCCACAACTTTTTCATTAAAATGATTAATTTCTCAAAAATAACACATCCACAGAATGTCTAGAGTGGTGCAAAGATAAATGAATTAATTTGACTCAAAAAACAAGTTTAATGAATTTTGACAGTTCCAACATATAGAAGTATAGCCCTATGGGGCTGCTCAGTGCCGTAGTGGGTAGCACTGCCACCCTACAGCAAGAAGATCCGGGTTCGATTCCCGACCCGGCTCTTTCTGCATAGAAACAGTAGCAGCAAACAGTACAGAACGAGAGTGGCCCAGTGCAAGTACGCCACTTACAGGCCAGGAGGACTTAAATCTAAAGCATTCACCTTCAAGTTTTGTCCAATTTAACAACCAAACTTCTCAGCCAGAAGTAAAATATATCAAACAAATGAATGTTGAACATGTTCAACAACAAAAAAAAGGAGAAACAAAATTTCAAAATGATTACCTTCATAACTGAAGAAAATTAAAAACAGCAATGAGAATCTGGGTATATTCAAGACCTTTTAAGGGACTACATTTAGAGAGATTTAATTAAATTTCTCTTTAGAAAATTTGTAAGAATTTACAAAAATCCTGGTACAAAATTATCTGCAACTGAATCATTTTAGGACTATGACATATTGAAGATACCACCTCAAATGGTACAGGTACCTTTGGCCTGCACATTGAATCAAATCTTCAAAACAAACATTAACTGTAACAGTACTTGCCTCACTAACTGCCTTTAAGGGCTAAGGCTGAACGAAAACATGACTCATTATGTGTTGACATGTGCAATATAATAAATGTTGAGTAAATAGTAAAATCTTCTTAAAACATTTTCATATACAGTTCTGTTCAACTGTTTCATTTTTATCGAGGTAATCAAAGAAAATCTGCTTTATACAATAAACTAATTTAGTTAAATACATACAACTTAAGGACACATTTAGGAAATTATTTATTCATTCAGTGAATTGTGGTCCTTTTAGACCTTCAAAATAAAATCTAAATTCATCTAACGTAAAGAACCAGAAGATGCTCTACCTGTGTCTGCTGTAGCTCCGGTATGTACTGCTGCGGGAGCGGGATCGTCCTCGTCTACGGGTTCTCCGACTCCGACTGCGGCTCCTTTAAGAACAGCGATTGAAGTTTCTTTAACAAAAGGCACACGAGGCTGTGGTTTGGTAGCTTTAACACACTGTGAGATATTTATCTCTTACCTGGAGGAGTAGGTGTAGCTGCGAGATCTACTTCTGGATCTGCTGTAGGAGCGGGACCAGCCTCTGGAGCGGGACCGGTGACTGGAACCAGAGCGAGAATGTCTTGACAATGATCTGGACTTTTTTGGCGAGCGTGTGCGTGACATGCCTCTGGCCTTCCCCATAGATGGGGAACTTTCTTCACTCGAACTCTCCTGGTTTCTCGGCCTCTGGTTGAGCCGCACCGTCTTACGAACCTCATCGAACAGGGAACCTGGCCGGACTCGGTTTTTACTCTTTATCTCCATTTTTACTCCCTGCATGGTGAGACGCTGCACGCTCTCGTTGGCTGGTTTGCTTTTAACTGCGACAGCCTGGACGTTCACCTCTGGCACAGCGGCCATTCTTTTTAATGGCTTCCATTTGAAATTTATTCCGGCTTTTCCATTAGGTTCTTCTTCCTGTAGTTCAGCAGTTGTTGCTGAAGAAGTGACATCATGCTGGGCTTTCCGAGTAAATGCAATATCAGTGCTAGCCATTTCTGATGACTTTGAGTTGGAATCGAGTATTAATTTGGTGGCAGTGTTGGACGTATCTGACATGACAGGAGGTTCAAGGATCTCAACATTGTGCTCTGGAGTACAGATCTCCATATCATCTAAGGAATCTTGGTCTTTGATACTGTTCTGGTTTGATGTTTGTTCAGAATCATTTGGGTTTTCAATTCTTTCTCTGGATCTCATTTGCTTCTCTTCTTCTTTTACATGCTTTCTTTTCAAATCAGTTGAATGTTGGTCCTGTTTGTTACCATCCTCACCAAAATTATCTGGAACCTCTCTGCCAGGACTGCGTCTCTCTCTTTTAGCTTCATCATCCTCTTCCTCCTCGTCGAACTCTAAAGGTGGCTGCCAGTGGAAGGTCTCTCTCAGCTTCTGGTGTTTTCGTTTGGATTTTTTTGTTTTGTCTTTGCCATGATGAGAACTGCTCTTACTCTCTCCTTTTCTCTTATGTTTATGCTTCCGTTTTGCTTTCTTCTTGCTCTTCTTACGCTCTGGCTCTGCAGCCTTTGAAGCACTCTCATCTGAGGGACAGGATGAAGAATTGGCTGCAATGGCAGCAGCAACTTTATACCCTAGCTCAGTCACTGCTTTTGATGTACTTCTTAAAGCCTCATAGTCTGATTCAGAACTGGCTTCTCCTTCTTCTTTTTCAGAACCAAAAACTCTTTTGTTGGTTATATTCTCCGTATCTCCATCTGAATTCCACCCAGTTGACAGCACTGTGCTGGACTCAACAGTGTGCTTCTCTGCTGCTTTGTATTGGCCCTCCTTGTCACTGTCACTGTCCCACTCAGAGCGACTCTCCGCACGTGGTGGAAGGTAACGTTTTGTGTCCGTCTCCTCTGAGTTGCCCCCATCTCTTTTGTTCTCTAAAAACCCAGTCATATCAGGACTCCGCTCACTGCCTATTCCTTTTTCCGAACCTGAGAGTCCGTCTCGACCCTTATTAATTGAAATAAACGTATCTAGGTTTTTTATTCTGTTGAGAGAAGAGTAGTACTCCTTCCATTCTTTGTCTAACGAAGTCCCTCTGTTGCTGCTTCCTTTTTGTTCCTTTTCAGAGTTCGATCTTTTGTGGGATGAAGATCTGCTCCTGTACTGCTCGGCTGATCTCGACCTGCTAGAACTTCGGCTCCTGGAGCGACTGAAGGACTTGCTCCTGGAGGACCTGCTGCGTGAGCTGTGTGCAGTTTGGCGTGTCATCTTGTCTTGAACTTCTTCCTGTAAGGACTTTGGTGTTACTGAAGTCTGGGTTTTTTCTGAGATGTTCACTGCTGGAGCAGTGCTAGAGGTATCCGTGGGCGTAGCCTTAACCTTAGCTTTGATTTCTTGAATATGAAAGTAGGAGGGCTTCCAGGGCTTTTGGTCTGGTTTCCAGCGGGATGGAGGAGGACTGTCGCTCAGCGGGATCACAGGAACACTATCATTTACTGCGACTCCTGGTAAAATGGAAACGGGTGTAGACTTCTTATCCTGGACCTTCCCAGGTACTGGCATTATGACATCCATTTTAGGTTTCATTGTCTTCCTCCTCCTTGGAGATCTGGAAAAACTCCTCTTCCTAGACGACAAAGATCTAGATCTGGATGTGTATCTAGACCTTGATCTTGACCTGGACCGAGAAAATGACAGAGATCTTGATCTGTGCCTTGATCGTGATCTTGACTGGGAATAAGATAGAGACCTGGATCTAGACAGAGATTGACTTCTCGATCTAGAATAGCTTCTGGACCCTGAATAAGATCTGGATTTTCCACGGGATCTGGATCGACTGGATGTGTAGGACCTTGAGAAGGATTTGGAGAAAGACTTTGAGGATCTCCGTCTTCTTCTGCTGGAGGAGTGATGCTCACTTGAAGGAGACCGGCTTGGTGTGCGAGATCTAGACCTCCTAGGAGAAGACGCTGACTTTTCACCCTCTGAGTCATAGTGTTCTCGTGATTTGCTCTTGGAGCTTTTCTTCTTGTTTCCATGTTTGCGCTTTTTGGCTTTCTTCTTGTGTTTGGCTTTTTTCTTCTGCCTCTTTGGCAGCTGCTGCTGGCTTGACCTCTCAGAGCTCTGGCCTGAAGAATGCCCTCCAGACTGGGACCGAGGGGAAACGCTTCTATTATCCCACTTGCTTGAGGTTCGGTCTTTTAGTCTGTTAAATCAAAAGAAGCATGAAGGAAAATAAAGGAAAAAACACAAACAAAACACAGAGACAAGTTGGTAGTAGAATATGAGTCCTACTTGTCTCCTTTGCTCCACCTTTCCGGACTTGTGGGAGGAAAAACTTTGGTTCTCTTTGTTTCCACTTTCCAATGCGGTGGAGTTTCACTGCCACCACGTTCTTCAACAGATGTAGAGCGTGATTTGGATCTGGTTGGGGTGTGATATCTCTAAAAACAAAAGAAAAGGCAAAAAAATATATATATAATTTAACACTATTTCTGGTCAAACACTTAGTTTCTTTTTATTCCTTTTCTGATCAAAGCAAAGATGATGGTGATTAAAATGTATTTTATTTACATCGAATATAGTCTATGAAATTAAAAGAGAAGCGTACAATTGTTCCTCTGCCTCTGATCTTCCGCCCAGACTTAGTAACAGCGGGTTTCTGTTCAGCTGGGGGACCAGTTTCTTGTTTTTCAAGACTGAAAGATACAATCACATTTTAACCCATTTTACAAGTAGTGCATACATTGCATTACAAGACCATTCATACCCTATGATTACATGCAAGACAACATTCTGAAAAATCTTATGGAGTATTGTTAGATATCCAATATTCAAAAATTGAACATTTTGTATCGCACAACTGCAATAATACAAGGCTGAGAGGCTTGGCAAGGAGAGCATCCATCAGAGAAGCAGTCAATGTGGTATAAATCCTATGAGAAGACTTATTTGTAGAATGTGGTTTAATCAGATAAGATCAAAGTAAAATCTTTTGACTAACCCAAAAAAAAAAAGAAGATATTTGTGACATAAAACAAACATCGCACCTGATCCTAAACCTACATAAACCCAACAAAGGTGGAGCACGTTATTGGCAGCATCATGCTGTGGCCTACAGGATAAAAGTATCCTAACAGCCCGTGGGGAAGCATTGTCCTAGCACAGACTAGGAAGCTGATGATGGGACTACAGATGGAGCTACAGAGCAGTTTCTAAAGAAAAGGCCTGAGTTGGAGCATAGATCCTTCACCCTGTGTGGCGCCAACACTAACTATTCAACCTAAGCCGCAACAGAACAGAAATCAAAATATATCCATGTTTGAGAATAACCTAATCAAATCCTTACCTGCATCAAACTGAGAATCTGTAGCACAACTGTACTATACATATTCAGAGATGCTCTCCTTCCAATAAACGGCTACAAGCTGGTAGAGTTGTAGCCCAAAACAATTCTCTACTCATATATGAGAAAGTTCAAGAGGACTGAATGCTGTTGTAGGGTGTTATTTGTGTATGCTTTAATATGATGGATAACTAACACTTCTGTTTTCTCCTCCTGTGTTGGCATGTCGCGTCGCAGCAGGAAACGATTCTCTGGCACAGGTGGGATTTCCTCTGGTCGAACAACGGGCTTCTCCCTCTTTCCAGCCTGCTCCTTCTCTTCATCGGGCTTACTTTCACCTCCTACCGTCTCTTTTTCTGCAGACCTTAATGAGCAGTAATACATCCAATCATGTATTTTCATGGCAGTATTCATATCATTCAATTAATCTTGATCATGGACTCATTTTTTTTTAAGTACCTTTGCTTGGGAGTTACTTTATCTGTCTTCTTGACTTTTTTTCCTTCCTTCCTTTTCTTTTTTGACTGTTTATGTTTTGCAAGACGCTTTTGATATTTGAGCTTTTCTTCTGATTCGCTTTCAGACGAGGAAAAATCGGACAACTCATTAGAATTAAGAGATGAAGTCCTTTTCCGCTTGCCCTCAAGCACTGGAAATTGTACATATTTAATAGGTTAAATATATGACACACATCAGGATACACACTTCATACTTAACAGAAGTATTGAATGAGAAAAACTATATTTATATCTGGTAATTTCTATAAGCACTACATGGATTTTTAAGAAGAAAAAAAAAACATGCAGATAACGGACCATCATTGGCAGATTTAGTGATCAGCTGTCCACAGTCCACCACTCTCACATCAGCATAGGGTCTGCTAGCTGAATCCGTCTTCAGTTTCTCAATCTTCTTGATCACTTCAAACCCAGAGATGACGAGACCGAAGACAACGTGGACGCTGGATGGAAAACAGGACTTACTATCACAGACTTTCTGGATTTAAGAAGTTCAGGGGTAGGTTAGCATTTGAGGCCGAGTCATTTCAGCCCTGATGGATGCTGCATATTTTCATCTCACCCATTTCATTTAAAATAAATGAATCTTGGACAAATAATCCCTTTCTTGATTGGATACAAAACAAACCACTGGAATTTGTTTTCCAAGTTTGAAGACGTTTCGCTTCCCATCAAGAAAGCTTTTTAAATTCAAAATGTCTGGAGTAGCGTTGAGTTCCAGGCTTATAGAATGGCACAAACAAAAGTTATGGCTTAGAAAACATGCAAATTGAACTCCCATTACAAAGGGGTGGATCTGTTTTTGGTTCAATGCAAGTCCACTGGATTGTTTTTCAACTTTTTTTGGAATGACTATGACCTGCATAACTGAGAATCTTCACAAGCATCCTTTGAAAGAATTGATTATTCCTGCCCTTTATTAAAGTGATGTTTGCATTTCACTGTCATAGTGTAGTGGATACAAAAGAAAAATAAAATTTTCCTCATGTCAGGATATTCAGTTAGTGTGAGTTAATTTTCTTTAAGTAGTAAATGACTTATATTATATTCTATTTACCATGTTAAAGTAGCACAGAAAGGTCATTAAATGTTTATTAATTTTCTTTTCCCAAGAAGGTGTTTTTTTAGTGATCATCTCTGTTGTCTGCAGATATGGCAGTAAAGAAATGTATTAATTTTTTTTTCCTGGAACAAAATGCGATCACTTTGTTTTGTTTGTGACAGATTTTTATCCAGGGAACAGATCAGCACTTAAACAACAGTTTCAGACATTATTTTGACACATTTTCTATTAAGTAGTCGTGGTATATTTAGAATAACTTCTTACCCATCAAGGTGAGGTGCCATCCTAGTTGTGCTGTTTATGATTAATCCAGATGACAGGTGGATCAATTACAGTGAAGAGTTCATGGAAAAAAAAGAAAACATTGATAACTGAGAAGACAAATCGTTTAAATAACCTGAGGCTGCAACTGAATAAGACAAAACGACTTCAGAATGGCATGTAATGTAGAATACCACTCTTGATTTATCTGCCATTTGACTTGTAATTTAAAAAAAAAACATTCTGACGGCTAAATATATTTAAGATTTTATTGGTCTAATCAATCAATAAAAAAAAAAAATAATGTATTAAACTTAAAAATCAATTAAAATCTTTAACCGTAATGTCAAAAAGCTACCTGGGGAGGAAAAACTCATAATGATTATTGCCTTTGAATTACAGGAGGTTTTGCAGTCCAAGAAAAATCCCCAAAACATCAAATTGCTTTAAGCTATTAGTGAAACTGTAAAGCATTTAAAAAAAAAAGCAGTGTACTATCAGACATGTTTGCAAATAGAAACTACAACATTAAAAAGAAAGTCAGGAGAGAGAAACACAGCCTTTGAGACACATTACCTTGGAAGAGCAGGATGCTAGAGTTTCTGTAAATTTTACACAAAAACGGCAAGAGAAAAAATGTAACACATTTGTAGGTAAAAAAAGAATGAATCCAATGTTGCTGTGCACTTTGAAATCTAACTACAGAGAGAAAGAGAGAGAGAGAGAAAGAGAGGGGGGACTTTGATGGACAAACATTATTCTTCAGGGCCACAACAAAGGAAGGGTAAGTAAAATCTAAGATACAGCTTCAGTTGGGATCTAAGTGAAATGTTCTGCCTTATTTACATCAACTCTTACTCACATAAAGAATTGTGAGCCATTGGTGTCCTTCCCACGGTTGGCCATGGACAGCAGGAAGGCTCTGTCATGTTTGAGAATGAAATTCTCATCTGTCGGAGACAGACAGAACGAGAACCAAAGTTTCAGTGTGTCTCTCGGTTAATGCTGATGGAAATATTTGACAAAATAAATACTTCAATTTACTTTGTTTCTATGGAGCCAAAAACTTCTTAAAGTTATTTTCTAAAGCTTCAAGCTGGTGGTTTGGTGAGTTCAGAATAATTCACAGGAAATAGGAATCAATAAAATACAATCGAAACATACATACAATATATATGTATGCATGTAAAGCAAAAACAGATTGAATCTTTTGGAAGACTAGTAAATCATTAATAAGACTGTTGATTGTATATAAATCAAGAAATCTGAAATAAAACTTAAACAAAAAGGTATTTAGTGACTTCTTGTTGATGTAAGAGATGAGCTTTAAGTTTTTGACATTTAACCTAAAGAACTTCCAGAACTTCTTGTTTCTAAAATAATTATTTCTAAAAATAAATGCTACAATTAGCTTAGTTTAAAGATTATAGTTTAATTGAAGTTTTCTTTAAATACATTCAATAGACAAATAGTTTGAGAATAATGAGGGAAGAATTGGTTAGACTGGTGAGGAAAATTATACAATTCATAGATCAACAAGGACCTGTCGATTGCAACTCTGGTTTCCTTCACATTTCTTCGGCTTACATTCAAAATTAAGACAATCCTACAACCACAGCTTAGCTCTGTCTTCTGGTCTCCCTTCTCTGATAACACTGCTAGATATGAATAAATGGAACATAATAATAACATCTGTGTAAACAGTCCAAAACTTTTAAAAGTTTACCCTGGAAAGCATCTTTACTTTCTTTGAAAGTAAATCTTGTAAAGAAACGCTTCTTCAAAGACACAGTTTGTCGCCATGGTAACTTACTCTTCTTAGGGCACTTGGGTTGATAAGGCCACTAACTTTAAATTTTAAACTGTGAAATCTGTCAAATCAAAACCAAACTGTTAAAGTTGGGAATGTGTGTGATTGTCAGAGGCAAAAATAAAATAAAAATAAAATAAAAAACTTTGGGAATTATTAGGAGAAAAATCTTTTGAAGTCAGAGATTATTTTATTTCATAAAAAGTATTATTTTTTTTAGAAGTAAATCAATGATCAGATCTTCTCAGAAATCTTTTTATGAAATTGGTTTTGCTATTTACATCATACCTTTCGACTCTGCTTCTCTATGCTCTTTATAATAGTAAAAACAAAAACAATACACTGGAATCCGTCAAACTGTCTAAAGATAGCAGAAAACCAGGTTACAGCCAAACACTTGGAGGACAACAGGGATTTTGGACTGAATGGGAAGTTTATTGGGACATATGTAACCTTTGATAGTGAAAGCCTTGTTGTGAGGACTATGTTGGGATGGTGTTACTGAACTGTGCACATTTCTTACCTTCTCATTTTGCAAAAGACCACTCTATAAATAAGAGAATATGTTGATAGTTTTAGGCAGGAGGATTGTAGAATTCGGTAACGAGAATGGCTACTTCCCATGCTGATGTGATTAAGTTAACACATTGGAAAATTCACAAGTTACTATTTATTTAATGAAAAAAACATGCAAAACTTTTCAGTACTTAAGACACAGATAAAAAAGAGATAAATCAAAAAGTACCTTCAAAGTAGCCACCATATATGGATTCACCTCCTCTTCCATTTCCTGTAGCCATAAAGAAAATCAAACCACCTTAGATTCTTTTTATATCTAAATATCTTAATAGTGTTTGTACTCTTCACAAAATCCTAATATAAATCTAATATAAATAATCTGTAATTGTTGTCAAGTGCTTCTTTTTGACACAGCTGCCATTTACAGAAAGCAGCATGTCTCTTGGATGTCTGACATGATGACACCCACAACAAAACTACAAAACAAAGCTGGGTTAATTGATTATAATATACCCCTTCTAGGAGTCCATTATTTGCTGGAATAAATCCTAAAATGTCAACCTAACCTGGATCTTTATAAAATGCTTCAAATCCAGATGCAAATCCAACAATTTGCAGTCACTTAAAACTTTTTTTTTCTACCTTCTGTGAAGTCGCCTCCTTGAACCATGAAGTTTTTCACAACCCTGTGAAATGTGGAGCCTTTGTAACACAGTTTTTTTCCTGTGACTTTCCCGGTTCCTTTTTCACCTGAAATAAGAGATGAATATAAGCAAAACTCTTACAGAAATACAAACTTAATAGGACCTGCAATTCTAGAAGGTGCGTCTGTGTAGCAAACCTCATGTAACGCTCAAAAAGAGAAGGTCTGAGTTACTGGATTTTAAAGAACTAGATTTTAGTGTTTAGACATTATAAAAAGTCAACATGTTGGCTTAAAACCAGCATCATCTAGCTTTTCATTTGGCTGCATTCAAGAGAGATATGTCTGTTAGAAAGTTCTTCTTTAAATAGTAGCATCTGATTGTTATTGCATTATTCTGAGGTTAAAGGTCCTGGTCTTAAAGAATATATTAAAGACTTTGAGAAAGTCACAATAGTACTCAGCTACTGCGGCAAGCTCAAACAGAAATTCATGAGCAAACTAATTAATCTCAAATCAAGTTGTAAGGTGTGGAGAAAATTAGAATCACTGATTTGGTCAGAAAACGATTTAGAGCTACAGCTTAGATCTAGTTCAATAAATGACTTGAAATCAAATCACACTACATGTTGCCTAGAATCACAGAATGCAGTGGATCAAACCACTGTGTGAAGATAACTCACCAGTGCACAAGCAAAGAAAGTTTTTGCTTGTCTTGGGACAAACGTCAGAGAAAAGCTGAAAGACGATGCGTCCAACTATGGAAAATACAGAAAAGAGAGAGAATTATTACAGCATTTAATAAGGCATTTCAAAATCTAAAATAAGAACACACACATAAAAAAAAACATTTGAAGGTACAAGTAGGAACTCCAGCAGGGCTCCTGCATTATTACCTGGCATTATAGAAAGCTTTCAATACCCGCTAACACCCAGAGGTGTCAAGTAACAAAGTACTAATACTTTGTTACCTTACTTAAGTGGAAACAATTGGTTATCTATACTTTACTTGGAGTAATTATTTTTTAGACAACTTTTTACTTCTATTCCTTACATTTTTTGGACTTATCTCTACTTCTACTCCTTACATTTTAAAAATAGACTCATTAGTTTTGTGAGCATACCAAAATCAATAGTTCTTCAAGACGATGCAAAGTTAAATGTGCCACTGTTACCATTAGTTATAAAACTAAGAAAGTCAAGTATAAAGAAGGTATCATTCAGAATTGTAACTGCACCCTTTAATAGGGTGGTAAAATATCCAGCATATTGTTTAAAGCATCTGTCCAAAAGATTGTTTTCCTGCATTACTTTTATACTATAAGTACTTAAAAAAATAGTACTTTTACACTTTCACTTGAGTAAAAAGCTTAAGTTAATATTTCTACTTGAGTAATAAATATGAATAGTTTTGAAAACTCTACTAGGAACACTGATATAGTGTTTGACACAATGAAAAATTAGTATGGAAGAAAATTAACTGCAAAGACTAATTTAGCACAGAGCTAACTTAACTTAGCTAGTCTCTACGTGTCCGTCTGTGCATACAGTTCATTCACCTCTACAAAGAAGCACCAAAGTTAGCTCTTTATGCACATGTGAAAAGCTGCTGTTTTCTGACAGATTAATTAAAGAAATCATATTTTTTAAATAAATATTATTGAGTCAAATTTTTAAAGGCAGAGTGTGTCCAATGGTATGAATTGGGCAATTAAGTATATAAAAAAATTTCTAAACTAATAAAAGTAATCATTTTGATGCATATTAGTGCTTTCAGTCTTTGAGAGCCCATACTCTAAAGACAATGGATCAGAGCTACACAAAAGCAGTGTGTTTAGGAGGATATAGTACTTTTTATTCAGGCTCAAATATGCAATAATGTTTTAAATCAGACTATGCTTTGTTTTATTTGTTTATTTCTTTATTTTTTTTTTACCCTTTTTTTAAAGAAAGCTTGCCCTTGCAAAATAAAATAAAAAAGAATTACAACAGCAGGACAAGTATTTAGAACAGCCATTCAGTACTCAGCATCAAACCAGTATTTCAGGCTTGTGAACTTCTGATTGTTGCACTTTCATTTTGTACATTTACGGAAATATCACAGTTAATCTTTACATTGCGAGTTATTTGTTGAAGGCTCAAATGAAAGCTGTTTATTAGTTTTATCTTTATATGCTTACCTGGCTCCCGGTTGAGTTCCACATCAAAGTAACACTGAGGGCGGTCTTTAACCCCCATAATGATCAAAGTGCGGGTGACCTAAAAATGCAGGAAAGGTACAACAAACCTTTTAATAAGCAAGTCAGGTTAACTCCTCATTCCAAATCCTCAAGGTTTAAAAGGAATGACATGAAGAGGGTGGGGCAAGAGGGCAAGAGATTAAACGATTGGAGGAAATATACGGATGAGGAGAGATTGGTGGGAGGGGAAAGAATATTCATAGTCCTGACAAAAAAAAAATAAAATAAAATAAAATTAATAAATATATATATATATATATATATATATATATATATATATATATATATATATATATATATAATGCGCCACCATCTAGCTGAGATTTACAGTCTTTAAATTAGGTAACCTATTTGTTATCTTCAAAAGTAGAAACATGCAGTTCAAGCATAGTTTAAATATCTAAACAGATTTGAGTTTAGTTTTTTTGAGAATTTTGCTGGTTGCTAAATGAGTATCTGTTCCTGTTGGTCCGTATCAAAGGGAATGCAACCCCCATAAAAGACTTTAACTGCAAACTCAATTTGAGGTTCAGGAAGCAAGGACAAAGAGCAAACCAGGACTGCAAAAATACATGCTTCACTTGGTGATCTATTAGTATATGGTCAGCTTATCCTTGTGGTATTTTGAGTCATTGAGGTTTCGTTTGTTTTTGCATTTAAATTGTTAGCTATAAAACAGATTCCTTTGTTTTTTTTAACTTCATAACTGTTTTGATATGCTTTGAATAATTTCTTTCTTATACATAATGTATAATTAGGAAATGTGGTTATATGATTACAATGAAAAATAGTTAATTTGAATTGATCAGGGTTGATAACTTGTAATATCAAAGTAAATGTAAATAGATTGTAGCATACAGCATAATGGATAGAAAAAAAATTGTAAAAATGTTTAATCATGGTTACTTAATCAACATTGGTTGAGTATTAAACAA